AACTTTATTTATATAGCACATTTAAAAACCAACGGTATACCAGAGTGCTTTATTTCCATTCATTCTGTGTAAGGCCACATCGGTGCACATTTTGCTTTCTCAGTGAGATTTCAACAGAAATCGAAGAAAAGCGCCAAACCTGCAGTCAGACGAGGGCAGTGATGCCTGCTCAGTGCTTCATTTGGTCTTAGCTATTTGGCAGTTAATTTTGTATATGCTTGTATGTGATTTTGTACTGAACAGATATTGTACTGCATAGTGGCAGAGAGCACAATGGGAAAGTGGTGAGCATTGTTGGCTCATTGTTGTTGGTTTTGAGCCTGTTTGCCAGCTCAGGTCGTTCTGTGCAGAACAGCTAAAGTAAAGGTGTGGATCAGTGGTTGTTCTTCTCTGTATTAGTGATGTGATGGACTGCTGACCTGTCCAGACTGCACTTGGCTTTTCACCTGATATCAGCTCGGATGAGCATCAGTGACAACAGATGGATGAACTGACTCTCACAAAATTAGCAATTTGGCTGCTTGGATTTCTTAGTGTTTATACACAACTACAATCTTATCCAATTGACACAATTTTCACACAATCACTTGCAGAGGAGCCAGCTTGTGTTTTGACACAGCGATTACTGTGAAAGCAAACTACCATGAGCATTTATACAACAAGACAGATCAAAAAAATCACAAGCCTAAAGAGAAGGCTGCAGTCACAGGGAGCTGGCATGTGTCTCAGGATATGAGGTCAGCAATTTTCTCCAAAGTGAAATGTTCAAAGCAGTAAAATATCTGCCTGTATGTTAACAGAAAGAACAGACACTCGGCGTCTCCTCTCATTCAGGGCTTTCTTGTGCTCCACGGTAGTGATTTCAAAAGCAATGAAGCCTCTTCAAATCTGAATACCCAATTAGACTTTGCTGCAGCAATACAACTGACTCTGCTCATTTTTCATTACTGCACATTATTTCCATAGTTACGCGGTTACATCTGTATTCCGTCTTTACGGAGTGAAGCTAATCAATTTAGGTCTATACCCGTGCACAGCTCCAATTGCTGATTTATTACATGTGAGTCACCTCAGGGGAAATATTACTTTTGCAATAATAACGTCTGCAGAGACCAGATAGAGCAACGATCCAGAAGAAATAAGTCTAAAACAGCTTTGTGCACTTTTCAGCCTCACCAAAGACTTGAACTCAAACCTGTGCCACTGATTTAATCGCCGATTCTCATCTGACATATTTGTTTTTCTCTGATACATCTTAAGATATTGTTAAAACTCCCAATTTTTGATCAAATTTGGATCTTCTGAAGTCATTCGCTACTAGCCCATTTAAACTGTAACAAGAATTACCACGTGATGCTACACTGTGTAGCCTGAGGCAGACTGCTCTGTTTTCAGTGCACAAGCAGCATTTAGGAAAGATGCACGGAGGACAGAAGCAGACATGACATGCAGCATTAGTCAGCAACCCCGTTTGCTATGTCTGTGCTTCTGTGTGCACCTGTGTTTGTGAATAATTGACTGTCTGTTTAAATTACTATATCGCCGCCTTTTTATGAACAAAATATAATTGAAATGTCATCATTTGATTTTGAAGCCAAAGGGAAATTAGCAAGCTATGAAAGGTGCTGTACTCATTTCATTCAACAATCGCACGTCTTTGCTGTCTTGTTGGGTCTAAAACGATCCATCAGCAGCAAAAAAAATGCAGTTTAGGTTGTGGGTAGATTAAAGCCACAAGTCCAGCGGGTCTGTGTTATGAGCTCAGAAATGTAGAAATCTTTGAGAAGAAACATTTTCCTATTGAACATTATACTCAGTGTCAGACATATTGAGTCATTTTACAAAGCACAACATATCTGAATATGATCATCGGCCAACAAAGGTCTTGATGTTTGTAACGTTTTTGTCGTTAACATTTTTTGATGTGGTTCATGCATTCAATAGCAGGTTTGTTAGGTACACGTTTTAATTCAAATATCTAATAACATGTCAGCAACTAAGTTTTAGGCATGTAGACACTGTTGAGGTGACCTACTGAAGTTCAAACCGTGCATCAGAATGGGGCAGAAATGTGATTTTACATGTGGCAGGGTTCTTGATACCAGACAGGCTGATGCAAGTTCAGAAACTGCTGATCTGTTGGGATTTTCCTGCACAACCATTTTTAGGGTTTACAGAATATGGTCAGAGAAAAAATACAGCAGCAGCTCCCTGGGAGAAAAAGCCTTGTTGATGCCAGAGGCCGTAGGACAATGATCAGACTGCTTTAAGCTGATAGGAAGGCAACACTAATTCAAACAACCACTCGTTGCAACCCAAGTATGCAGAAGAGCATCTTTGAATGCACAACATGTTGGACAGTGGAGCAGATGGGCAGCAGAACACCGTACCTCACCTGCTGTCACTCCTGCTAACTAAGAACAGGAAACTGATGCTACATTTTTCAACCGCTCACCAAAACTAGAGGATAAAATACTGGAAAAGCATTCCCTGATCTGATGAGTTTCAAATTTACAACATGAAAGCTTGGCTTGAATCACCTGTTTAGGCAGGTAGTGGTGTAACAGTATAGAGCAGGTTTTGAGTTCCCTCCCCAGACGCCTTAACGCCCACTCACATCCTGGGCCATCTGAGCTCAGGAATTCGCATGATAAGGTGGGGCCAGGTTTCACAATGAGCTCACCCAAAACCCTGGCTGATTGGGACCCACGCCCAGTTTCACACCTTGGCTCAGGCGATTAGAGGATCATCAGGGGGTCCTTTTGTCCCTCTGTGGGGGGAAACTCCCACTAGGTTTAAATCTGGGACTCTCCACCATTTGACCTTAGAACTGAAGAAGCTTCTCGGACGAGAGGTGAAACATCTTCAAGCAACTTAAAGAAGTCCAGACGCTTTTCTTTGCAAGCTCCTTTGACAGTATAGAGCAGGGGTAGGCAACTCCAGGCCTCATGTGCTGGAGGTTTTAGATGTGTCCTTGATCCAATACAGCTGATTCAAATGGCTAAATGACCTCCTGAACATGTTGTGAAGTTCTCCAGAGGCCTGGTAATAAACTAATCATTTGATTCAGGTGTGCTGACCCAGGGTGATATCTAAAACCTGCACTCAAGGCCTGGAGTTGCACACCCCTGGTATAGAGGATATTAACTTGCACATTTAGTGGCCCTTAGTACCGCTTGTTCTGATGGTTCCTTCATTAGGATAATGTGTGTCACAGCTTGTTTGTTCCAAACACCAAAAAAGTCCAAGAAAAGGCCATGGGTGGCAACGGGAGGTTTGTTTTAGAACGCACTTCTGACTCTATTGTTTAAAATCATGTCGTTTATTTCGTGGAAAATTATAAACAAAAATCAACCAAATAACTTCTTACAACTTAAAATTAAATGAAAGTTATCTTAATTTGCTTTAACAACTCCAAAAGTGGTCAAAAAAATCATTTTCTAACCCTCCCATCTTCCCATCAGACATTTGGCAAACAAAAAACCATCCATACCACACCCCTCCAGGGTGCTCTTAATCCCCTGATTAATGGGAGGGTCCATAAGCCAATAAACCAATCACTTTCCAAAAAACTTTTCTAATAAAATGAATTATAAATTTACATAAAACTAGGTCAGCATATTCTTACAACTTTAAAGAAAAAACAAACATGAATACAAATTGCGTTTTATAAACATTCAACAAAAATGGCCACAACAATGTGCCTCCACGGTCACTAGATTTCAATCCAATAGAGCACCTTTAGGATGTGGTGGAACATGATGGGCATCATGGATGTGCAGCTAACAAATCTGCAGCAACTGTTTGATGTTGTCATGTCGATATGGCCCAAAATCTCTGAGGAATGTTTCAGGCACATTGTTTTTAAGGTGACTTTAAAGTGTAAAGTCAGTGTGTTTCATACAGAAATATAAAATGCATGTACTTTAATATTTTGTCCCAGAATGGTCTCTAGCACAGTCCACAGTGGTAGAAGAAGCTAGTAGGAGGCGGCATGCTGCCCTGCTGCTCTCAATGCTCAGCACTGCAGGATTGCTGTTGTTCAGCTCAGGCATCTTCAGTGTTTAACTACCAAACACAAAGGTCCAGGCTGGTCTGACAGCATCATGCAGAGAAAAAGGGATACTGAATTGATCATCGGGCGAACAAGTCTAGACTCTTCCTCATTGGTTAGTTGAAAAAATATGAGAAATTGCTGTAGTGCTGCTTAGCATTTTGATCAGGTAGAAAAAAAAAAAGCATAAAAATTGATGGGCATGGCTGTGAAACATAAATGCCCGAGTTAATTATTTTTAAAATTTGTGAGAACATCAAAGATCTCAAGGTCTTTTTCAGTCCAGTAAAGATTAAAGTGTCACTTTAAATTTCTCAACCTTTTTCAGATCAGAAGACGAAGACCCACGCCCGCCACTTTAGTGGCATCCAGTGATCAATCGTCACCAGGTAAGGAAACCCAAACACGCACACTA